ACCGGACAACCAATTAAAAAAAAAAATCTAATTCTAACTGTAATTAGCTTCTCGTAACTAAGCTAACGTACCCAACGCCCGCACTTTATAAGGGGGCGAGTGAGGGGAAGCGACGGAGGAGGAAATAATAATATAAATAAGGCGTAAAGAGAGGAGGAATGAAAAGGGAAAAGGGAGAGAGGGGAAAGGGGTAAGGAGAATAAAGAAATAATGTGGAGGAGAGAAGTTAAAGGAGAGATAGAGGAAGAGGTAAAGGGGAAAGAGAAAGGGGAAGGGGGCGGGGAGAAACAGGAGGAGGGGGGGGGTAAATCAGAGATAGAGGAAGAGGGAAAGGGAGAAGAAGAGACAGGAAAAGAGAGGGAGTAAGAGGAAGGAGAGGAAATGGACAGGCTGGAGGAGACAGAGAGAAGGAGACACAGAGAGAAAACCCCTTAAATAGTAATCATTGTAAAAATAAATAAATAAATAAATAAACAGACACACCCCCCTTTTTCTTTCAACCCTAAGATACCCAAGCATGACGCCCACCCGCCCAAAACCCCTCACTCACCCATGGCCCCCCCAACCCCCCACGGACCCCAACCCACCCATAACCTCCAAAACCCCCATCCACCTGTAACCCCCACTTACCCACAACCCCCCCACTCCCCCCCCATTCACCCCTCCCCCGCCTAGACCGAGCGCCCTCGCCCTTCCCCGAACTCCCTCTGTCTCGCCGCTCACTCGCCGGAACCGCATAATATCTTATTCACGTTTGTATTGATTGGCCGATTGGGTTTACCTGGGGCGGAGGAGGTGGCCGGCCGACACGCTTGGTTTTATGGCACTTTCCTCTCTCTCTCTCATCCTCCTCATTCTCTCTCTCTTTCTCTTTCTTTCTTTCTTTCGCTCTCTTTCTCTCTCTGTCTCTCTCTGTCTCTCTCTGTCTCTCGGTCTCTCTCTCTCTCTCTCTCTCTCTCTCTCTCTCTCTCTCTCTCTCTCTCTCTCTCTCTCTCTCTCTCTCTCTCTCTTCTTTATTACTAACTTATTCACTAACTTATTAACTTACTCTCAGACACTCTCACAGACATACATACATATACATATATACATATTTACATATAAATAAACATATACGCACAAACACAGACAGACGCACGCACACAAACACACAAACACACTCACTCACTCACTTTCTCACTCTCACTCTCACTCTCACCCTTTCTCTTTCTCTTTCCCTTTCTCTAGTTCTCTCTTCTCCTATCTCTCCTATTTCTCCTTTCCCCCATCCCTTCCCCCCCTTCCCCTCCCTCCCCTACACCTTCCACCGTCTCTT